TTGGGGTGGTTCCCAGTGGAATTTTTTGATGAAATTTTTTGAGAATCTTATTCATTAAGTCTAGTGATGGAAAGTCTACCCGGGGGTATCCTATCCGAGGGGTTATTGCTGGAATAACTAGAGAGAAGTCAGAGTAAATAGGAGGAGAGAGAGTCGATTTATTAGATGAACTCGAGATGTGGAGTTGGGGATGCAGATGTCGATTACAAGGAGAAATGGGCTGCTATTTATAGCAGCAATAAATGCGATGAGAGTACACGTGTCAGTAATCCAACGGCCGAAGGGTCACATCAGCCTGGTGGCACCGGCAGTGGTACGTTCACCGCATTGAATGCGGTTGGCGGATGTGACGTGGCATTAAATGCGGTGGTTGGCTGTCCCTAAAAGGAATCTTCGATGATTGAGAGTGTTTGGCCGAAGGCTCCTTGTGTGACCGAGGGGTCCATGTAGCCAAGGACCCCTAAGTAGCCGAAGGCCCCGAGTGACAGAGGGCTAAGTTCAGCCGAAGGCTTCCCTAATGCCGAGGGCTTGGTAATGCCGAAGGCTCATGTTTTTCGCCGTTTTCTCCCAGTAGCTTCGTACGCCAGAGAAGGCTATCTTGTGAGTTTTTTGGAGCCTTCGGCCAAGGAGGCCGAAGGCACCCCAGTGTGTACTCTGGGCTACTTTGAGGCCTGGGCCGTTGTATTTGGGCCTGAGTCGATTCCTGAGCTCAATGGACTTGTGTAGGAGAAGTAGGAGTCTATGGGCCGGGGTTCCTGGGCCATATACTCCATCATCTAGTTTACTCATATCAAATTTGAACTAACAATTCAATCGGGAAGACATTCAAATGAATTCATGAAGATAACTGCGCTTTTAACGGTACAGTTATCTTCAAGAATTCATTTGAATGCCTTCCCGATTAAAGTTTTAGTTCAAATTTGATATGAGTAAACTAGACTTAATGAATAAGATTCTCAAAAAAATTCATCAAAAAATTCTACCGGGAACCACCCCAAATGGCGTCGTCCGGACAGAGCATCCTAAATATGGCCTTATTTGACATTTTTTTTCAAGTTCGAGACCCTATCTGACCCTTATCTCTTCTTGTTTTTAAAATAGATTTGCTTTTTCCAATTCTTCATTGTTTACTTTTTACCTTTTTCTATTGTTTTCCGCTATTCTTTTAAATTTTCGGATTACTTCTTTTGTGATTACGTATTAATCACAATAACCTATCCTAATGAAATATATAAACATGAGCTGCGCTAGTACGTTACATGAGCTCTAATGATACAAAACTCTGTCTTCCACAAAAAAAAATTATACAAAACTCTGTGTAACGACAACCTCATGGTGATTGTTGAGCATAATTAACAACACTTAAATTGGACCCTTTCGACCCTTTTTACCCCACTAGCTAGAAATGAGTTGAGTTTATAATTGAACACAACAAAACAAACGTCCAAGTTGGCACTCTAATTTGTCACTGAAAGTTCACGGAAAATTTGTCAGAAATTTATCACACAAGTTAACATGCATAAATTATACCCCTCCTTCCCCTAATATTGGGCGGAAGAGGGTGATAGAGTATTTAATTCTAGGGAGAAGTGAGAGCTAGAGAGAGAAAGTGAGTAATTATATTTCTCAATTTGGAACCCCCTATAATTAGCCCCTTGGGGTCTATTTATAGGTAAAAATGTGGATTTGGACCCCTAGCCTTGGGCTTAGGAGGCACATTACAATAATCATGCCTTCTTTGGGCGAATAAGGCCACTAATGGGCTGAGTACAACACTTAGTACAAAAAATAGGAAAATACATTCTGCCCGGACGAAGTCCGGACGAAGCGGTTTACGGACGATGCGGTCCATGGACGACGCGGTCCATGGACGACGCGGTCCATGGACGACGCGGTCCATGGACGACGCGGTCCATAGAAATCAGGCGATATCTTCTCTCTTGGACGCTACGTGCCTCTGGACGATGCGGGTGTCCCGCCGGTGTCTTTTTGGGCCGTTGAGTATGTGGGCCATGGGGTCCAGGCCCATATACTCTATCAGGAGTCCCCCACTCTCTGAGCTGAGGTGAAACCGAAGCGAAAGGGAGTACTTGTTCCTTTCTGGCTGGCCGTTGCGTGAGTCTGAGGCGTTTGATGGCCGACGAGTTCCTGTTTCGATTTTGGATGAAGCGGTTCCCTTATTTGATGTAGATGAAGCGTGCTTGGGAACTCATAGCCTTGATGCGGGCCGGTGCACACTCTGTGGAAGTGCCTTTGAAGACGAGGCGATGCGCTTTCTTTTTTGTAGATGCGATGAATCCTTGGTGGATAAGTTGGCATGCTTTCGTCGTCATCTTGTTGGGGCCGAAGAGCTCCCATCCATTCTTTTGGCCGTAGCGGTGACATATTTTCATGAGATGGAGATGGTTGATTTCATTTATGTAGACGATGCGATGCACGCCTTTGATTTGTCGGAGCGTTTGATTTGTGGGTTCTTGCTCTGGTGAGCCGATGCGGTCCCCCAGTGTGCGCAGCCGTTGCGTGCTTAGGTTTTGTATTTTGGGTTTTTCATTTTGGGCTCTGCGGCCGATGTGACCCGCAACGCTATTGAGGTAGCTGACGCGACTCTTAATGCTTTTTTGAGGCGAATCGCCCGTCTTTTGTTGTTGGTGAGCCGTAGCGCATCCTTTTTGCATTAAGGCCGTTGCGTTTTCTTTCCTTGTGGCCGATGCAGTCCCCCAGTCCCCCACTCCTTTGGCCGAAGAGCATCTGAGGCACAAGGGAGTAGTCAGCCGTTTCGGTACCTACGCGTTAGTCGCGACTCCAACCCTTAGGCGAACCTGTCCAAGGTAACCCTGTGGGAGAACCCTTGGACGAAGGCCGCAATGCCAGGGCTATCATCGACGATGCGCGCGCTAGTGGCCTTAGCGGTATGCTTAAGATTTTCTGGGTCGTGAGGATGTAGAGTTTAGGCCGATGTGTTCCCCTTTATCGGAAGTGTGGGCCGATGCCTGCTTTGGAACCTTGTAGTAGTTGGGCCGTAGCGGTATTCAGCCGATGCCTTGTTCTTTGTAAGGTTGAGTTGGGCCGTAGGGGCGCTTGTTTGAGTGATTCTGAATTGGTGTCCCTTGATTGGTAGGGAGAGAGGTGGCCGTTGGTGGAGCCAATGGGGTGGCGCCACGTGTAGTGACCGTTGGAAGTTTTCTATAAATACCTCCCTATTCCGTAGCCGCTACCCTATTTGCGTTTGCTAGAGTTGAAGTGCTGCTGAGATTTCTAGAGAGATAAAGTGCTTCCCAGAAATCTCCAAGTGTTCTTCGGATCTTCACCCATTCCAAGGTTAGGTTCTTGAATTGTTTTCCCTTTTTTCTTTATACTTTGCTTCCTAGGGGGTTAGATCTAGTGTTTCTAGGAAAAATCACTTTGATCCTCGAACAACCCTTAGGACGTAGCATAGTTGTTATGCCGTTCCCTGACGGCCGTAGCGTCCCCTCCCCTCTTAACTTAACAGCTTCTTTAGACGAGTCGGACTGGCCTTTTGACGATGAGGACCCGTCTCCTGGAGTGAATCTTGAGGTAGTTCGAGCGTTTGAAACAGAGATGGAGAATACTGCCGATTACCGCACTTCTCAGGACGAGGAGCGTCTGAATGATGATGCGGGTTCCCAACAATCAGGCGAGGACGAGGCGAGCTCGGAACCCAAGCTTCGGGGAGACGAAGCGGGTGATGCCTCTTCGGCCGCCATCCCCTGCCCTCCACCTATTTCGTCTGTGCCAGGTGGGGCGTCGTCTTCTAGGGTTACCAAGAAACGCGCGTCGCGTCGGAGGAAAGCTGCGGCTGGCGGGTTGTCCCAATTGGACTTGACAAATCTGTATGTTATAAGGCCCGAGAGCACCCGAGGTGATTATCATTTGGCTCAGCTGTATGTTGGGCCTTATGGAAAGGTGAGGGAGCCTAGGCCGACGGACCATGTTCTGGATCCTCCTCCTGGGTACTTCGGGGTTTATCCGATGGCGTTCTCGCAAGGACTACGATTTCCGCTGCCCCCTTTTGTGATTGAGTACTTGAGGATGGTAGATCTCCCCCCGGCGCTGTTGACGCCGAATAGTTTCTCACTGATCGTTGGGTTCCTCATCCGATGCGACGAGCTGGGTTTTGAGCCCACGACGGCCCTTTTTACAAATTTGTTCCGGATCGGCCGAGGGAGCCATAAGAATTGTGCTGGTTATGCTACGCTTCAGCAACTCCCGGAGAAGAAATCTTTCAAAGACCTCCCTTCGTCTATCCATGGGTGGAAGGCGAAGTTTGTATTCGTGAAGTTGGCCGATGGGGTTTTCTTTCCTTCGCAAGGGCATAATGGTAATTTTAGCCTGCATAATCCGCCGCGAAGCGCTGAGCTCGATGCCCAAGTTGAGGCATTCCTAAAAGGTGGGCCGAGGAGTGTGAACACGTACATCACTGAGTTCAAGATTGCGGCTCTCGGGATGATGCGGTATTACATTCCTGGCGACCCAGATTGTGGATTGTGGCCGAGGATCTCTGGCTCTTTTGAACAGGCCGATGGGCCACTTCTTGGGATTCCGACCGAGGCCGAAGGTTGACACTTGCCTCTGAATCTCCTTGTACTTAGTATTTTTTGTGTCTAATCCTTTCTTGTGGTGTCGTCCTTGCAGGTTACGAGATGAGTCGCAAAATGTTCATGGCCCAGGCCAAGAAGCAGGTTGCAAAGGAGCTGGAGGCTGCCCAGCGAGCCGACGCGTCCAAGGGGTCCGGTGACGGCTCTAAGTCTCAGGCCGATGCGGTGAAGAAGGCTGTTGCGACCAAGAAGAAGAGGTCCGCCGAGGGGCAACAGACCTTGACGGAGGCGGGGTTGGTGCCGGCTCAAGGTGCTAAGAAGACGAAGCCGAGCCCTCCCCTTAGAGATGCTGTTATGGCCGATGCGCAGGCATCGGTTCAAGGGGAGGCTGCCTCTGATGTGCAAGTCCTCGAGGATCTGACATTGCATGTCGCCTCGTCCTCCCTCGTCCCTGCTAAATCCGGTGCCGCTGCTAAAGAGAGGGCCCGCGCCAGCCGAGACCTGACCTCCGGTCTTTATGAGGTGACGGTACGGTATCCGCCGAAGGGCGGTCTATTCAATGATAAGGTCTCTGGGCACGACGTCCTTTTCCAGGCCATTCCCGATGCCGATAGGGAGTACCTACGTCGGCAGAGCAAGGATGTGCGTCTCTTCGATGGAGGACTGGACTACGTCGTCCAGGTAAATTTCTGACTTGGTACTTAGTGATTTTTTATATTTTTTCCTCTTCTGACAATTGTCTTTGCAGGGAGCCTTTATGCTGATGGAGCAGCAGCGGCGGCAGGATGAGGAGCTTGCTCGCCTTCGGGAGGCTGAGAGGAAAGCCGCTTCTGCTGACGAGGCGCTTTCCCAGTTGGAGCGGCTTCGAATTGAGACCGACTGAGGACGAGGCGAGGCGCCTCAAAGTTCAGCTGGATGAGGAAGCGGCTGCACGTCGGCTGGCAGAGGAAAGAGCCGTGAAGCTAGAGGCCGATGCGACAGCGGCTGCTGATAGAGCCATTGAACTGTTCATGGCTGAAGGTTGGAAGGACGATGCCCGCCGCGATTGGAGCTTTAACGTCGTGGCGGAGCGCTTCGAGGCGTGGTCTCAGGAGGAAGCTGGCCGAGCCCGCCTGAAAGAGGAGTTTGAAGTCTGGTACGACCTCGGCCAGAGGCGTATGCAGATGTTGGTTTACCGCCGCCTCCGCCGGCGTGTAAAGAACCTGAAGCCTAGGGGTATCGGCCTTCCCCGGATGATGAAGGACCCCGAGGAGGAGTTGAAGCTTCCTCTGTCCAAAAGGCAGCCTCCCATCCTGAGCTCGGATGAAGAGGACGAGCCCTGGACCGAGAGTGATGACTACCTTTTTCGGAGCTCGGCCAAGTCCAAGAATACCGAGGATGAGCAGGACGATGCGGACAGCGGAGCCGTTGAGGGTGGCCAAGGACAAGCTGTTTAGTGTTTCCTTGTACTTAGTTTTCTTTTTTCATTTGTAATAGTAGTCTTAATGGCCGCAGCGCCCTGATGATTGTAACGGCCGAAGCGCCCTCCTTGTATGTTTTGAATCATCAATTAAAGATCTCTTTTTGTCCAACTATAGATGTTTGTTCCTCGCTTCGTTCTCTTTTATGTTTGGTGTTTGGTTTGGTGGTGTCGCGTCGTCTGAGCGACATTGCTTCGCAAGTTTTTACTTTGGCGAATTTGCCAAGTCTGTGACGATGCGTTCCATCATTTCCTCTGTGTTGATGTGGGCGCACCCTCGCCTCACTAGTATGTGTGTGAGGACGTTGCGCGTGTTCCCTGCATCTTATAATAGGGACGATGCGCCCCTTCGTCTGAACTGTTGTGTTTAGAACATGTGTTTCAAAAATCTACCAAGTGTTGAAACTTTTCCTTGGCGCGGCGCTACGTCCCTTGCGTCTTAGGTAAGGCATGGCCCCAAAGTTCTGAAATCTTTCTAAGTGCCAAGAGTTTATCTTGTGACATCCGTCCGCTGAGACGTAGCGGTCCTCTTTCCATTTGTTATCACCGGGGACGCTGTACCTCGTCAACCCTTGGTGTGCTGCTTTCGTTTTGGTTTGTTGAGGACGAAGCGATACCTAGATATGGGCTGGTATCACCTCGGCTTCCTTTGAATGTGACTGAAAATTTTTCAGTGTCAAACTTGACTTGATGGAGGTTTTTTGCCTCGGTTCGCCATTTTGGATTTCTTAGTCGGAGACGATGCGCCCCCGTCGTCCAAACACTTGAATGTAGCTTCGTATAACCGAAACCGAAGCGATTCTTTTATGAAGCTGTGGTTGAGGCCGAAGCGTGCACCTCGGATTCCTCTTAGGTGAAAACCTGATATGTACTTAGCCGATTTTGAGGCTTTGGTTTTTGTGGGGATTTTATTTTTTGCTCGAGGCCGGCGAGTGCGCGGTCCGTCGGCTTCCCTCTTTTTTTTTTTTTTTTTTTTTTTTGGGTGGCCGAAGGGTTACTGTCCCTTCGTCCGTTTGCGGTAGTTTGTCCGCTACGCTCTTCGCGTGAATTAGTGCGAGGGAGTAAATACGCCCTCGGCTTGGTGTGTCAGTGGCATCTTTTTTGGCCTTTCCACGTCTATCGTCGACGAGGGACCGGACTATGCATCGTCTTTAGACGGCCGCCCTTTGTGGTCCTGAGCGAAATTTTACTGACGGGTGGAGTTTTTGTAACCTCGGCCTTAATTCAGGCTTGTCGTCCTGCGGTTTCCGCGAGGACGACGCGGTATGCTTCTCCGTTTGAAGACGTCGGACCATGCACACAGGTCCTTCGTCCTACATATCGCCGGCCGATTTGGGTGTTTCACCGCTTGTGCCGATACGATATTCGGGTGCGTTGTCTATGCAACGGCTTTGTAGGCGCGTTGTGGATCGCAACGGCCTTAGGTGCGTTGTTTATTGCAACGGCTTTGGGTGCGTCGTTTATTGCGACGGCTTTGGGTGCGTCGTTTATTGCGACGGCTTTAGGTGCGTTTGTTTATTGCAACGGCTTTGGGTGCGTCGTTTATTGCGACGGCTTTGGGTGCGTTGTTTATTGCAACGGCTTTGGGTGCGTCGTTTATTGCGACGGCTTTGGGTGCGTCGTTTATTGCGACGACTTTTTAGGTCGCATCGGTCCCGGGTGTTTGCACCGCTTAGGCCGATGCGGTCCTTGGGTTTCCCTTTGCTCAAATCTTAAGAGATTGGATGAATCATGAATTTTATTCAATAAGTGGCGCTGGGCCGAGGGTGTTTTATTCAACCAATACGCCGAGGGGTGGGGGACGTTGCCCGCTTCACCACTTCTCGAATTATTGGTAAAATTTCACCAGATGGTGTACATTCCACAATCGTGGCACATCTGACCCATTGGGATTCTTTAGTCTATAGGTGCCGGCTTTGACGACGGCGCTGATAATGTAGGGCCCTTCATATTTGACGGCGAGCTTTCCTCCTTCCGTCGGCTTGCTTGCTTCCCTTCGGCGGAGGACGTAGTCCCCCACTTGGAATTCGCGGGAGCGTACCTTGGCGTCATAGTAGGATTTGACTTGGCGTCTGTAGTTTTCTGCCCGAAGGTAAGCCATCTCCCGTCTTTCGTCAATGAGGTGCAAGTCAATCTTCATGGCTTCTTCATTGGATTCGGGGTCGTATTGTGTGACCCGTCGGCTGGGGAGGGTGACTTCAGTGGGAGCCTTGGCTTCGAAGCCGTAGCACAAGGAGAATGGCGTCTCCCCGGTGGCCCTCCTTGGAGTAGTACGGTAGGACCATAGGACGTTGGGGAGCTCGTCGACCCAACTTCCGCCTTCTTCTTCAAGCTTCTTCTTTAGTCCCTCCAAGATGGTTCTGTTGGCGTTCTCAACTTGCCCGTTGGCCTGAGGATAGGCAACGGAGGAGAAACGGTGTTTGATGCCCCATTCTTGGAGGAGGCTTTGGAACGGTTCGGCTTCAAATTGGGTGCCGTTGTCTGATATGATCTCCTGGGGCACGCCGAAGCGGGTGAGGATGTTCTTGTAGACGAACTTTCGACACCGCGCTCCGGTGATGCTTGCGAGTGGTTCGGCTTCGACCCATTTGGTGAAGTAGTCGATGGCGACGATGATGTATCTGTTGTTGCCCGCAGCTCTTGGTAATGGGCCGACGAGGTCGATGCCCCATCTGGAAAATGGGATGGCAGTGCTGACCGGGGCGTAGTTGACGGCCGGCCGACCAGGTGCCCTTTGGTAGTGTTGGCATGCGCTGCATTTGCGGGCGACTTCAGCACAATCGCGTGCCATCGTTGGCCAGAAGTAGCCTTGGACGACGAGGCGGCGTGACATGCTGAAGGGCCCCTGATGTGATGAGCATACGCCGCAGTGGACTTCTTCCATGGCCACCTCGGCCTCATTCTGGTGGAGGCATCGGAGGAGGGTGCCGTTGTATGATCTTTTGTAGAGCTTGTCACCCTCAATGACATAGCTTGGCGCCCTTAGTTTGGCGAGTTTAGCCCTCTCCTCGTCTTCAGGTAGTGTGCCGGAGGTGATGTAGGTTGCGATGTCGGTGATCCAATCCTCCGGCTGGTGTTGGATGGAGAGTATAGGGCTGGCGTGAATGCTTGACATGCTCAACTCCTCCACCTTAGCTATCTTGGAGATGTGCTCAGGGGTGTCGGAGCTGAGTTTGGAGAGTATGTCGGCCTCGGCGTTCTCCGCCCTTGGGATCTGGGTGATCTCGTAGGTATCGAACGCCTTGAGCAATTCCGCAGCGGCCTCCTTGTACTGCTTCATCCTCCCTTCTTTAGCCTCGTAGGAACCCTCCATCTGGTTTACTACGAGTTTGGAGTCGCATTTGATTTTGACGTGGCGTGCTTTGAGGCCAGCGGCTAGTCTGAGTCCGCTGAGGAGCGCTTCATATTCCGCCTCATTGTTGGATACTTTAAAATTGAAGCGTATGGCATAGTATGCTCTGAATCCTTCCGGGGAGATGAGGACGACGCCACCCCCACAAGCTTTGGTGGCCGAGGACCCGTCCGTGTAGAGGGTCCAGGCTTCGTCCGGTTCAGCTCCTGTGGTGGTAACGGCCGTCTCCCTTGACGTGCACTCGGTGACGAAGTCAGCCAGGGCTTGCCCTTTGATGGATGGCCTCGGCTTGATCTCAATCTGGTACTGGCTCAAGAATATTGCCCACTTGATCATCCTTGGAGAGCTGGTTGGGCTCCTCATGAGAGCGCCCAACGGCTGATGCGTGAGGACGTGGACGGGGTGAGCTTGAAAATAGTGGCCCAGCTTCTTCACCGTGTGGACGATGGCCAGCACCGTCTTCTCAATGGGGGAGTACCTGAGCTCGGCCTCCCGCAACGTCTTGCTGACGTAGAATATTGCTTTTTGCACCCCGTCATCTTCTCTGATGAGCACAGAGCTAATGGCCGACGTGCTCACCCCCAAGTAGAGGAAGAGAGTCTCGCCGGGTTGGGGCTTGGATAGGACGGGTGGGGAGGCGAGATATTGTTTCAGCTCCTCAAAGGCTTGCTGACACTCCGTCGTCCATTTGAAGCTGGTGGCCTTCCTCATTATTTGGAAAAAGGGGAGAGACTTCTCAGCGGATTTTGAGAGAAAACGGTTCAGGGCCGCGAGGCGTCCCGTTAGCCGTTGCACCTCCTTTATGTTGCGGGGTGGCTCCATATTGATGATGGCTTGTATTTTCTCCGGGTTCACCTCGATGCCCCTTCGACTGACCAGGTACCCCAGGAATTTACCTCCCTGGACGCCGAAGGTGCACTTCTTTGGGTTGAGCCGGAGGTTGTATCTCTTCATGATCTCGAAGATGCCCCGGAGGTCGTCGGCATGGGTTGTGGAT